TTTGCTTTTTTCAAAGATGAACTCGAGGCAAGAAAATCGCTCAAAGCGTTCTTTTACAGCCAGAATTAAAACCAAATATTCTTTGGAACGATTTCTTTCTATTTGCGGTGAGAAAATGTCTAAAGGCTTTTTAAAGTTCCATAAGCTTATCATCAAAACTCATACTCGGTCACTCTCGGTCAGATCATTGTCTCAAATCTTACAAAGGTGCATGAACCAAATAGCCGCGTAAACTACGCTCGACTTCATTAAATTAGATATAAAAAACAAACATCACATACAATAATTACTCAGGCTTACCTTTCGAGATGCACTGAAAACTATCAAGTAAGGCAAAAATCGCTTCAGACTTTTCAACCGTCTTACGCATCAAGCTAGGTGAAAAACGAAAACGATGTCATCCGAAATCGGATTTCCGACTTTGCCAAAGCGACGTATTTCTCAACCAAAAACCCAATAAACAAACTAGTCATGAATAACAGAAGACTCTTGATAGCAGCTGAATTTCACTTTGTACATTCAGTGGAAAAAGACAGTTAAAAATATCACAAGTTGACACAAAACTCTGTCAGCTTCAGCTGTCAAAGTAAACAAGTTTCAAGATGCTGCATAAATTTTCCGCGTGAACTCACCTCTCAAATTTTGACCAATCAGAGTATAAAAATTGGAGGTAGAGCGTGACCAACGCGTGACCTTGGTGAGAAAAGTCAAAAGCAACTGGCATGTCTTCCCTGCCTGTAAAAACTGGCTTAATTTTTAGCTTCCGAGGTCAGTTTGAAATCAAAATTTTAATTGTGCGGCACATATAAAACACAACATATTTCATATGAATTAAAAAAATTAAACTTGAGCCTGCAATCATTTGAAAACTAGTAACTTGTCAGCGGATAACTTCATAAAGATACTCGACCTCGATGGGTCGACACCTGAGCCCGCGATACGGTCAGGTGATACTGGTCAGCGGATACTCTGTTTTGACAGCTGTCAATTGATCACAACATTGATCTGCAATATGTCTGCAATATCAGTCTTCCTGTGCTCCCAAACTAGCTAGAAAGTGTGAGATTGAACTTTGGTTGCCCTGTGGTGCGGACGGACGGGCGGGCGGGCGGGCGGTGTACGGTCACGTGATTACCAAATTTTCTGGGATGGGTAGATTTACTTACCCATGGTGCTCCGCAGGCGCGCTTCGCGCGCCAGAGCTCCGCTATAAGTAGATAAGTAGGTTGAGTATGATCGTTCGGGTGAACGTAGTCCTGAACAGGACTGTTGTTGTTGACAGTGACTGACGTTTCGACAGCCTGTCGAAGTCATCCGTTCAGATTCAAAATTGAATTGTATCACGTCAGTTGATGGTATTTTTATCTGGTTATTGACCTGATTGGTCAATTAAGTCGCGTTATTATGGGCGTCTGTCAGTTGAGCGGTGATGTTATTGGCTATAAAGACTCGTAATGTCATTGTCGCGTTTTGATCCGTCTGTTGTCGCAGTTACTGAAACAGTTGTTTATTGTTAGTCAAATTGTCTGTTGTCCAGTCATTCTGTCCTAATTAGTTTTCCTTGAGTCCGTCAATAAGTCGTTTGTATTTGTACGGTGCTGGTAACTGTTGACTAGGATTCAGTGGCGTTTGTTGTAAGTTAGTAAACCACTTTTCTAAAGTGATTCGTTGATAGTAGTATGTAGAATACGTAATATATGTCGCAGAGTCCCAGTCGATTTGATGTTTCTTCTGTAAATGGTGTACAGCAATATGATTGCTGACGTCACATCTTCTTGTCGCTCGCTTGTGATCAGTGGTCACGAGCTAAGGTTTCTGCAGGTTTCACCAATGAAATTGGCCTGGCAATCGCAGCATTTGATCTTGTATACTGCTCCCTCTCTGCCCTCTGGTTTGTCTTTGTCCTTAAAGTTAGTTAGCAGCCGTCGTAAAGTGGTTGTCGGTTTGCGCACAACGCGTATGTTGTAGGGTTGTTGTATACGTGCGATAGTTTCAAAGGTGCCTCTGATCTACGGCATTTTCGCTGCCGTAACATACTCAGACCAATACTCAGACCAACGTTTACTCTGGCATCGTGAGACAAACGATATAATTAACCAATAACAATAACCTTTTTTATTGGTAACATATGATTGCTTTTGAATTAACATATAGTTGTTTCTCCTTGAAACAGATAACATTTCTCGAAACAACAGTTAAACTGGCAGAGCTGGTGACTGGTTCTTTTGCCTTCACATTTTTACCAACGGCGTTTTCATTTAATCCGCCCAAGATCAAATTTATGAACTATTTCAAGTGGAAGAGAGCTGCTGTTGTGTATGATTTCTTGACAGATGAAGGGGCTAACGTTAAGGTTAGTATTCTGTCAATTTATGGCACAGGGCAAAATGATGACAATTCACTTTCTCATATCAGGAACTGAAAAGATAAAAGCCGTGCAAGATGATCCCCATGACTTATTTAAAAATAGTGGTAACTAAACGACCAGTAACTGGAAACTTTTGCTCCATGCGTTGGTACAAATAGACGTTTGCCTTTATCCCACTAAAGAAGTCAGTCTAAGTCTGTATTTATTATGACTGGCGCTGCAAGTGGGCGAAGCGAAGCGAGTGCTGTGTTCTGATTGGCCAATTGCTGGCCAAATCTGTTCTGTCAGCAAGGCTGGAAATGGGACTCGTTCTCTGAGTGTTTTGATGGACCTCGATTTTGCTCCTAGCATTTTATTTACTTCCTAGTAAGCTTTATTTTTTTGGTGTTCCGGTCATTAACTACGTGTATAAGGCCTCCTTTCTTATCTTGGGATACTTTGATTAAGTATATTAAAATTGCATTTGCTGCATCGCAAGTTCCAAAGCCGCTGGGGGTGTGAACGAAGTAAAGTTATGTTGATAGTGGCCTTAGCTCCTACGAGTCTCCTATAGCTTATATAGTGGTAGAGCATCTGCACTGGTAACCAGAAGGTCATTGCTTAATTCAACTTCTACAGAGAAGGGAAGTGATGACGTCACAAAAACTAAATTTGTGAAATTATGGGATAGGTTGGTATATCCAGAAAGAACAAAATGAAGAATGCCCCCTTGCTAAAAAGGAGCCTTATTCACTCCCCACCAATTTGCCTTTAAAAAGGTGGGGAGAAAGTATCCCATACTTTGCGCATGCGCAATTCGTTCGATAGTACCATGTGCTTGGTCGGACATGCTTCTGATGCTTGTTGCATTTTACTGTTCAAATTCGCCCACTAAATACGTGAAATCCTAGTACATTACAAATTCCATATAAATCTTCTAAAACTAGACCTCGACCGTAAGAGTTACGACCCAGGCCAATTTTATAAGGATTTGTATGGAGTCATTAGAGCATAACGGTACTTATATCTCAAGACAAAGGGGACATTTCTCATGTTTTTCTTTCAGAATATGTCAACCAGTCCAATAATTTCTAAAATTTATATTTTGTGACGTCACCGTTCTCTTCGCTATTAGAAGTACTCCAATGCTTTTTTCCTTGCCGCCTGTGTCGCTGACTGCATAAATAAACATCTTTTCTCAAAATTCTACGAGTCCCCTTTGTTTTTCCTCTTTAAAAGGAATCCGGTTTACGAACTTTTGCTGTACGCACCTTTTACACACCTCCCCCGTAAATTGAGATGAGTTCCCCCCTTATTCTGTTCATACTTTTTTGACCCTTCTTGCTAGTCCTAATGCCTTTTAATTATTTTATGTTTTAAGGTTGTGGAAGATCTTGCCGCGACAGCTTCTTCGAACCTCACTTCACCTCGTGTTAACTTGACGTTTGAACCAATTAACCCACAGCAAAACTTAGTCGTGGGAGGAGTGTTTGAATCTATTAAGAACAGTCTGCAAAGCCTAAGGGTAATTGATCTTGTTTTCTGCTCCTACAACAACAACAACAACAACAACAATAATAACGATAATAATAATAATAATAATAATAACAATAATAATAATAATAATAATTGAATGAACAAAACAACCAAACAGATAGTGTAGTAGATGATGTGTTTGTAGAAGAAGCCAACAATTGTTATGAGAAATCAAATGAACATGAGGTAGAACCATCACAAACTGCATCTGAGTTCGAAGACCTAGTTAAAGAAATTAAGAGGGCAAGAGCTAAATGGGAAAACATCAGGATGGCAGAGAGGCCCCCTCTACCCAAGATATCAGTGAACAGAAAAGCTGAGCTGTTGATCAAACAAGCAAACCAAGGAACTCAATTGGTAATGGCAGAAGAGGCACCCAACCTCAATAAAATCAATTTGTTACAATATGTCACTGCGTATGTGATATCTGAAAAGTTGGGTAAAACGCCAAAACTCCCAAAGAGAAAGAGCAATAAACGGCAACAACCAAAATGGAAGACAAGAATAGAGAATCAGATTAAAAGCATGAGAGCTTATCTGTCGGTACTATCGGACATGGCACAGAAAGGTGAAAGCCAAAAGATCTCCAAGAAAAAACAAAGAATTAAAAAGAAATACAAAATAACAACAAATCAAGAACTGCAAACAGTAAGAGAATCCCTTAAAATGAAAATTCAAGCAATGAAAGCCAAAAGATCTCCAAGAAAAAACAAAGAATTAAAAAGAAATACAAAATAACAACAAATCAAGAACTGCAAACAGTAAGAGAATCCCTTAAAATGAAAATTCAAGCAAAAGCCCAAAGAATCAGGACATATGTAAAAACAAGTAAACAATTCAGTCAAAACCAGATGTTTGCAAACGATAGGAAAAAGTTCTTCAGAAACCTTGGTAAAGACTAGATATCAGTTGAAAAACCACCTGAGAAAGAGGCAAAAGAAACATTTTGGCGTAACGTCTTGGAGAACGATAGAGAGCACAACCATTCAGCAGAGTGGATAAAGAAGGAGGAGCAGAAATATGCTGATACAGAATGCCAACCATGGGAGGACATAAGTCAACATGAGTTGCAGACCGTTTTAAAGAGAGCAAGCAACTAGAAGTCACCCGGCCCTTATGCAGTTCCTGACTTCTGGCTAAAGTAACTCACAGCACTACATCAACACCTACTGAATGCATATAACCAAGCAATAGAACACCCAAAAAATCTGCCTGATTGGTTCACTACAACACAAACATATTTACTACTAAAGAACAAAGACACAGAGAACCCCAAAAACTATAGACCAATTGCCTGTTTATCAACATCCTACAAGGTGCTCACATCGATTTTAACCGAAAGAAGCTACACTCATATCACAAAGAATGATATATTGCCGGAAGAACAGAGAGGTTGTGTCAGGGATTCATATGGATGCAAAGATCAGCTCCTAATAAATAAAATGATCATAGAAGACTGCAAAAATGAAGAAAAAAAACTCGAGTATGACTTGGATAGACTACAAAAAAGCCTATGATAGTGTTCCTTACAGTTGGATACTGAAGACCTTACAGATGAACAGATTTAATGAAAAACTAATCAAGTTCATGAGAACCTCAATGAGCGACTGGAAAACTACGATGAAGCTATCTTACAATGATGGATGTATCACAACAGATCAGATCAAGATCAAAAGAGGGATTTTTCAAGGAGATTCATTCTCACCTCTGCTATTTTGTCTAGCCCTTTTGCCTTTAACATCAGAACTGGCTACATCTGGGTATGGTTACAAGATCTTAAACACAGGTGCTCCAATCAGCAATCTGTTTTATATGGATGACCTAAAAATTGTATAGCTAGAACGAGCAAGAACAAGTTGGAGAACTGAAAATCGTGAAACAATTCAGTGATGATATTGGTATGGAATTTGGACTTGAGAAATGTGCCAAAGCCAGTTTCAAGAAAGGTAAACTGGCCTCAACTGGAAACATAGTAATAGATGATGACACAGAAATACAAGAGTTGGACCAGGAAGGAGTATACAAATACCTGGGTGTGGATGAAAGTGATGGTATCCAGCATGGCAAAATGAAAGAGGAGATAAGAAAAGAATATAATAGGAGAGTAAGATTAATCCTAAGAACTGAGCTCAATGGAAGAAACAAAATAGAAGCTATCAATAGTCTTGCAGTCCCAGTAGTGCAATATAGCTTTGGCATCATTGTCTGGAAAATCTCAGAACTGAAGAAGATTGACACAAAAACACGCAAACTATTGAACATGCACAAGATGTTACATCCTAAAGCAGACGTGGAAAGACTGTACATCCCAAGAAAAGATGGAGGTAGGAGCCTGTTGATGTAGAAACAGCATTCAAAACAGCAACAATAGGGCTTGATCACTATCTGAAGCACAAAGAAGGGCAATAACCAAAGCAGGTGCTTGAACATGAAAGATCTAAAGCCAAAAATTCAATATCCAAGAATGCTACTAAATTCAAAAGGAGTAACAATGCCAGAGATTGAGAACAGAGAAGATAAATCTGCCTCTGCAAATGCTAAAGCCCTGAAACACGTGCTTAAGTTCAAGATGAGGGCAAAGAAAGAAGAAAAGTGGAAAAACAAAGCATTGCATGGCCGTTATCCAAAGATCCTAGAGAAGCCTCATGTAGACACAGTCACCACCAACAAATCGTTGTCGAGTAATTTGAAAGGAGAAACAGAGGGACTACTTGTAGCAGCTCAAGACCGGGCAATAAACACCAGAAACTACCAGAAAGTAATATGTGGCCAGCAAGTGGAGAGCAAATGCAGAATGTGTTCGCAACATGAAGAGACAGTGGACCATATTGTATCTGGAGGTGAGGTATTAGCCAAAACAGAGTACATCTCCAGGCACAATAATGCTTCAGCATATCTCCATTGGAGCATCTGTAAAGATCGTAATATAGAGATTACAAACAAATGGTACGAACACTAGCCAGAGACGGTGATGCACAATAAAGATAACAACATCACCATCATGTGGGACATGCCAGTCAATACTGATAGAACTATAACAGCGAACAGACCAGACATCATCGTTAAAGATTCAGTGAATTCCACCTGCAAACTGATTGATATGACTGTTCCATCAGATAGAAACATCGCAATGAAGGAAACTGAAAAAAAAAAGCAAGTACAAAGACCTAGAACTAGAAATACAGAGAATGTGGCATATAAAAACCCTAGTGATCCCTGTGGTTGTTGGTGCGCTTGGTACAGTGAGGAAGGGTATGGTAGAAAACATCAAGAAAATATCAGAGAGAGCTACTATGACAGAGATTCAAACGATCTGCATGCTGGAATCTGCGCGAATCCTCAGAAAGGTGCTCAGTGTATGAACAGAATGACTGACTTGAGTGACTGACGCTCTAGGTGCATGGTTTGCGCCCGGCTGATGCACAAAAAAAACACCAGCAAAGACTGTGATAAAAGAGACAATAATAATAATAGGGTGACTCACTTCTATTACGTAGACCACCTTAAAGCGTTCGTTTCGTCTTAGACCAAGCTGAACAGGTCCGCACGATCTACCAGTGCAGCTATGCAGGATACCGGCTTGCTGTGGAATCCAAAGGAGTGCAGTGTTATCCAGGTCAGGAAGGGCAAGCAAGTTGAAGATGCAGCAGACCTCAAGCTGGGCGAGACGGCTTTGGTCGAGAACCTCAAGACTGGTGTCAACAACATTTTCCTTGGTGTAAGGGTCGTGGACTCAAGTCTGTAGAACAAGAGTAAAAATTAATTGATATCAAGGCGGCTATGGAGCTACATGTATATGAGAATCCAGACCGGATGATGAGAATTGTGCGGATATTTGATGGGATTCTCCTCACTTGTGAAGGACGCACACAATTTAGTCTGGCAGCTAGGGACTGGTCTGAATTTAGCCGCTGCCTAACCATCGTGTAGCACGCAACAGAGGATCAGAGGACATCCGGTGAGACAATATCTTACGAAAGCTGTGGGAGAGAATGTTAAGGAGAGATGGCAAGGACGTCTGCTGTGGGCCAGATGGGAAGACGACCTGCTGCGTGAACAGGGCCGTTTTGTGTGGTTGAATGGGCGGGCGTGCGCTCCTACTCCTGCTATCGCAGGGGGTGTGGAACTTTACGAGCAGCTCTTACTACTTCTTACTTCTAGTCGACGCCTAAAAGAGGACAGGAAGAAGACTGACACCAAAAGGTTCTAGCGATCTCTCATACAACTTTCAAGATCTCTTACGTTCTCCAGCCCATTATCCCTCAATAGTGTGTTAATATATGTAGTTGAAGGACATCATCTTTTTGCCATCCCATGTGTAGGCACTCATGTTATCAGGTGTTATACTGGAGAACATGTTCAGAAAGAGCAATCCTTATATTTTGAATGGTAGAGGTCACCTTTTTTAGACCACCACAAAGCTCGCAATTTTAACCTTATTCTTCTAAGATGTGTTTACCACCATTTGCAGCATTCTTGTATAAGTTCCACCGAGGCTTCTTTCTTTGTCAAAGAACGAGTGTCACTCCTGTAAAGGAGAATTGTCTCCTTAGTTGCTCTGAATAACTTCTGCCTTTTTTTTTTCTGCAAAGTCACTCTTCCAGATGTTGTTCACTTTGTTTAGTGATTGCCAGGCCACTGCTGTGCGGACTTTTATGTCTTTTTCCTCAGAACATGTCCAGCTGCCCAGGTATTTGCGGCTTGCTCCCCTGTCTCTTCCACGCCTGTTTGTTTGCCTTTTTTTTACCATAATTTGTCTCTATTTCTACACTTTCAACGTTGATATACATAACTTTGGTCTTTATTGCATTCTATATTCCCATTGCGTAAAAGCTGCCTGGCTTGCCTAATCTCGTCAGACAGAAGAACAAGGTCTTCAGCGTAATTCAAGCCGCTCTTCTTTTCCCTGTGTGGCTTCCCACATTGCATGATCAACCGCAATGACAAATAAATATGGTGCCAAAGTCACCCACCATAACTCCGAAAAATATCACCCAGTTAAAAATAATCTGTTTCACCGTCAGGGGATAGAACCTTCCCTTTGATGTTGCTACATTTTAGCATGATTGTATTCGTGATTCTCTCAGCGATGTTGAACATCGCTTGATGGTTAATGGAGACGAATGCTTTACTAAAGTCAATGACAACCATAATTGATGGTAGATGGTAATTCTTGACTCCTTCAAGGATACCTCTCAATGCCAGCATCTGCGTAATGGTAGATCGACCCGGGCGAAAGCCATTCTGGTTATATCGCAGACATGGATCTATTTTTGGGCATATACGATTTAATGGCACTCTGTTTATTAGGTTGGCGACTATCGATGAGTAAGCTGATACCTTGTCGTCGATGTCACAGCGTTTCAGTATCTCAGGCTCTCCAGGTGCTTTACGTTGGCTTATCTGCTTCTTAGCATCAAGCACTTCCCACACTGTGAATTCAGTCTGTCTAATTGCAAGGTTATGCAGAACAGGATGAACATTATCCAGGGTTGTGTCTTCAGCAGGGGTTCCAACTGAAGCCTACCCGAGCTTACGCGCAGAGACCGGTACGTCAGACCAAAATAACACCATGTGGAGAATGTGTGGGTAAGGTACTAGAGAGCTTTGCTCAAGTTTTGGCACGCTGTTGATCACTGGCGCAGACTAAATACATGACCAGGCATAATGCTGCACTAATAGCGCTCTACTTTGACGGAAATGGTAAGGGACCTCAAGCTTGCCGACTCTTCTCCTCTTTGGTACTCACGAGTGGAGCTCAGCCTGTTGTACCTGTAAGACGACGCTCAAACATACTGAGATGTTCCTGTTTACGCAGAGCACACATAGGGTTGATTTGCCATTTGTAAACCACAAGGAGATGAGTGTGGTGGCTGTGGAAATGAGCTGTCCATGATTGAACAACCGCGCGAAGAAGGATACTGAGAAGACAGAGAAGTACCAAACACTGCGGTGGGAACTTGCTAGGCAATACCCAGGCTACAAGATCGTGCAGCTGAACGTCATCATTGACGTTCTGTCGGAATAGTCCAAAGAGCTAGATGTCGAGATGAGTGCGCTCTTTGGTGCGCTGTTGAGCGATGTTCTGAAGTGGACGCAGAAAGCTGTACTGTCCAGAAACGGCGAAATATTTAGCACGAATAATTATGGCTCATATTCCATGAGGGCTAAGCCAATCAAAGCTCTAGAATTGGTTTATCCAATGATTCAGGTATTCATCAAAAATATTTCTCCGTTTATGATTGACTCCAATCTCCCGGCGAATTCTTCATTACTAACTGTCGCTGAACATATTTGAAAGATGTGAGCAATATACCATCGATTCGATGGTATAACATGATTATGATATACTATAGATCAACCTCGTTTCTAGGCGCGGCAGCCTAGCTGTATATTCCTTAGTGAATTAATAAAAAAAAACGGTGTTCACGACTATCCGAAGGCGAAATACTGAGCTGACTGAACAGAAGAAATGCAAGGCAAGATCTGCATAATTCTTCACATCCTACGTACTCAGCCTCGTTCAATAATTCCTTATTATAAGCTCTCTAAATATGGTCAGTTTACGTGTGAGTTTAAGAATAAACAAGAAGCGAACTTGATTTTTTTTTCGCGGAGGAATTACTACAACGCTGAAAGAGTGCAAATTGCTTAGATTTGACCCTGAAGCATAGTATCCTATTGTTATGCATTTCCCATCGACAATTGGAAGTTCACATCATCATTCTAAATTGATGATGTTCTTCGCACAGACGGAAATACCTCTGTGCTCGTAGACGTGGATGTACATTTCTTAACCAAATATCAAATGTTTTCATTGATCAGGAAAGAGACTATAAAATCTTCATCGGAGAATTTGCTGACAGAGGAGCCGGCTTGGTTTTTTGCGAGGTAAGAAAAGTAGAACTATATAATTGTTCCCGTAAAAAAGTGAACTGGTGGTATGAAGCGTATGTGGATGTCTGGTGGTGGTGTTGGTGCTAGTGTGTGTGTGGAGGTTCTGCCCAAAAGAGGTACCTTTTTCAGGTTTCAGTTGTGTGAAAGGGCACGGATTTCACCAGTTGAAGTATATGAAAGAGCGTAGGAAAGTAGGTTCTTAGATGGCCTAAAAGGACTAAGAGATGCATTTATGGCTATGAAAAAAGTCAAGAAAGCGTTCTGGCTTTGTGATTTATTCATATTTTGAATACAGTGCCTTTACAGTAGTAAAAGGTGATGCAACGTTCTGACCAAGGTATGTGAAGAAGGGGTAATTAGTGTCAACGTCTTTACACAATTTGAGTTACTGTAGTTTCTTTTTGGCTGTCTGTAGAATCGCATCTTGTAGGACTCAATAAAGCTTGAAAGGTACGCCTAAATTGGTATAATTTAGGCCGTTTAAATTTTAATTTTCCGACAATAATCCCGGCCAATTTTACCCGTAAGTCACCCTTCAAGAAATTTAACAGCCATGATCAGGAGCGCATCACCCAAGAGAGTCCATTTTAAAAATGTCCTGGGATAAGGATACTCGGTGGAGAAAAAAGGCGAAAACCGTATTTACTCGATTAAACAACGAAAATTGGATCAAAATTGCTCTCAAATGAATGCCACATTAATCATAAGAATGCAGCGTTTATTCGAGGATTATAGAAAAATCTTTGCAATTTTGGAACCGATACACCTTTAGGACGATACTAAGGGTGCTTTCTATTTGTCAGAACTGGCCGGCCGGACCATTGCCAGACCAGTCATTTTGACAGTGAAATCAGCCTTTTCCAAGAATTTTTGCTGAAAAACCATCTCCTTCCCGACACTATAATTTAGGATTTGACTGATCTGGCTGGATAGTTTTGGTTAACAGTCAAATTCTCATTATGACGGGAAGGGTCTGGCCGGACAGTTCTGACAAATGGAAAGCGCCCGCCGAAGTATCCGCCTTAGAGAGATGGCCCTCTTATAGAGAGTCAAATGAAAGGAGTGAAAAAAGGAAGATACATCTCCAACTTTAAGATCTTTTTTCTCTAGGTTTCCGTTTTACAGAGGTGTCCGTCTTATAGAGGTACGTGTCCGTTAAGAGACAGTCGACTGTATATGGTGTTCTACATCATTAAGCTATCTCGATTCTATCTCAGAAAAAGAACAACGCATGAAAACTCTTTACATCTTTTTGTTTTTAATAATATTTACAAATGATGTTTTATAGTCGACTCTCTCTTAACAGACACCTCCATAAGACGGACACCTCCGTAAAACGGACACCTAGAGTTGGTGCCTACCTTTCTTTACTCCTTTTATTTGACTCTCTATAACAGGGCTATAACACAAAACTTTATTTTACATGAAAATCGATAACTTGATGTAATTGCTGAAATTTTAGAGGTTGCAAATAATCCAAATCTCAACAAAAACAGGGGTAGCCCAGTGCGAGGCGATAGATGGTTCGAACTCCACGTGATAGAATATTAAAGCAGATTTAATGACAGATTCTTATAGTTCATAACAATAGCAGTCGCTTGACAACAATTCAATGTAATAGCAATGTTCGTGGCCTAGTTACGACGTCACAGATCGCAGTAGTAGCGAGTAGTAATACACGTAGTAGACGAAGTGATAGCAGACGTAGTCGACGTAACAAAACGTAGACGTAGACGTAGACGTAGGCGTAGGTTCGAACTGAAAGCGATAATTAAAGAATACGAATTTGGTCGACGACTCGCACCAAAAGTAGCAAAAAATAGCACTCTAGCAGCAGCAAAATAACTTGTGATAGCAACTCCAATGATAGCGGGATAACTTATAATTTCTAGTATTGCGTTGCCTCTTTTATAATAGAGTATACGTGTATTATGCCTAGGGCGTTAACTAAGTAGTGCACCATGGCATAGGCGTGAAAACCTACAAAATGTTTCTAGAAAGATTGATATAATCAAGTTCTATAACCTAAAAATACAAAACTGTCTTAAAGCAACTAAAAAATATTATTAAACAAATGAACAAAAGAACATTTCAAAACTAACACTTACAAGTACAGACTACCTGGAATTGGCAAAGCTAATCGGGGCAGGTAGTATGGAGACGTATCACTTAAACGTAATTTACAATCAGTTGATACAAAGGGATTTTACTGAATCAGGCATTAGAAATTCGAAAATCTTCCGTCATTAACTGGGAGCGTAAAGAGACACGTCCTGTCAGCACACGCACATGCGTAAGACAGACATCAGGGTCTAAGACGGACACTTAGTGCAAGCAGTCCCAATGGTGATCGTCTAAGAGAGAGTTGACTACATCGTCATTTTGTTGTCTGTGATTTAAGAGAGGTATACTTTTAATATAAACGACAACCTCGAAAAAACGTTCAGGCGTTTAGTCGGTAACGTTGACGGTAACGGGGTCCCCGCTCTGTTGGCCTCTTTCGTACCTAGCCCGTTATTCGATTTTGTTTTTCTCACCAACGGGCCTTGTCCCAGGCTATCTGAAAAATGGTACCTTAACGCAGTTTTTCTAGTATCGTTAGGGAGTTTACGGTAATACGACGGCGACAGCGGCAAATACCTCGCTTAAAAATTGACTTCTCGATCTATGAAACTTTAGCGCGATTAACCCCAACTCGGTCACTATGTTTTATATAGGTGAACTCTCCTGGAGTTGAATTCTTAAGAAAAATATCCAGGTTTAAAAAGAGTAAGAGAGATTCGTCGTTGTATGTTTACGTTGTCGATAAAACGTGAAATTGGGCAATTCACGTCGTAGTCGTGCAGTGACGGAAAAGAAATGTACAAAAAAGCGTGATTCAAGTGCAGAGTTGTCGTTTTGCTAATCTTAACCAATTGCTCTTTGACGTTCTCGTTGACGAGCCACCCTTCCGCCCCACTAAAATATATACCTTTCTGACTCGTTTTTTAAGACAATCACCCAGACTGACGATCCATCGATCGAGCCACCGAGCCACTTGTATGTCTCATCTCTCTCTCGTTCTTTAAATACTTGTCATGACTAACGAGCCACCGAGTCGCTTCTGTTTAAGACCTTAAAGACCTGAAAATATGGTAATGTATTTTCCTGCAAGCCTCAGACTGCTCAGATTCATGTGTGGTAATGGGCATGTACTGAGGAATAAACGATTTTTTTTGTCTGGTAGTTGTATAAAATGGGAATGTACGGACCAGAGTTTGTTTGGATTTTAAACCCGAATGCTGGAACCATAGATGATTGGCTCGATCTTGCCGACAAAGCGAAAGAAAAGATACAAAAAGAGAATCAGGAACAGATATGCAACAAGACGCAATACCAGAAAGCTTTAAATAGAGCATTTACATTTAAGGCACTCATGATAAGGGAGGACGACAACTTCACTACCTCATCAAATCTGGTAAGACTAATATTTCTTTTCGTGAACGCAGCTCCTTCAGTAGATCTGATATTAATAGTATATTTACAAGGGTTGAAGTAAGCTTCCAGGTTACATGTTAAGATCCAAATTCACAGGAATTTCGATGGCTACAGCTAGAATTCTTTCTGTTCAGTCGAGCAGAGTAAAATCCTATAATCCTGATGAGTTTTCAGTTTTGAAAGTCTTCATTTTTTTCTTCCATTCACTCTGCTCGCGTGGCCAAAAATGTGACCGAGTTTTGATGGGCGCGGTTTGAGATATGTGATATGTGATATGTTTGTTTCCGGTTTGTTTTAACAAAGTTAAGTTAGGAAGTTTTACGCCCTGGGTACCAGAGATTGGCGACCAATTGAAAGATAGGTATTTGGCAAGAAATGAGCTAATTTTGATTTGTCGTACTTCCATTTGCAGACAGTATCTGAGGCATTTTCAAGACTGGGCATAAATGATCTATCGAGCGATAAAACGAAAAACCTGGCCACAACTTCGTTTGATGCTATGTGGGGCACTATGCTAGCCATTAAAGAAGCTAGTGAAACAAAAAACGTTTCTGATAAATTGGGAAATAACACGAACGATACAGAAAATCAGGAAGTATCTAATTTTCTGGTGAAAAAACTTACAGAGTTGAACTTTCAAGGACTAACGGTACGTTTTACTTTTTACTGTTTTATTTTCTATTTTGTGAGAAAGGCGTGGGAAAGATGATTGAACTTAGCCTCAAAGTATTTTTGTCATGATTTTTAGTCGGTAATTCTGCTATTTCGTCTTCGCATAGCCGTGAACTCTTTGGCATTCTCTTAAGTTCTACACTCGTAGCAAAACAGCTAAGCTGCCAAGTCGCTTTCTTGCGAGACGTCAGTGACGGTATAATCAAACATTTCAGTGACGTTTCAGGAGTAACTGTTGTTAGTGATATTTACTGTTGTTAGTAATCTATAAATCTAAGAATCTTCTATCTTCTATCTTCACTTCTCTTTGGTCTTTGAATGAATAATAATAACAATCAGCTAATGTGAACTAATATCTGAAAGACCATCCCGTCTAAATGGCATATTTGAGGAGTTAAGTCTCATTTCATTTTACCTCTAACGCATTACTTTCCTAGAGTGTCCCTCCCGCAGTAGAACCAGGTTTTTTTAACATGGCCTTCTGGTGATCAGTGCATTCCTTCATTGAAGAGGAAAAAAAGACCTTAACCTTCAGGGGCCTGTGACAGTTGTAACCGCCACTCGACCAGCCCTTTGAGAGAACACTCGAAGAGTCAAAATGCTGTAAACGAGAAATGTAAAATCGTGCAGCGCCCGTGAAATAGACAATGCGATTTGTGACTATTTCCAAATACTTACATAGCCCTCGTGGCAAAACAACTATTTGAACGGATCTATCTTCAAGGTATTCTGCAGTGTCCTGGCCCCGTCGTCAATTCAAAGCCTCGTGGCTATAAAATTTACAAGAATGAAATATATTAGTATGTTACATATTTATTGATTTCTAGGGCCCAGTGTCTTTCAACCCAGACAAAAGGAGAAAAGACGTTATTATTGTTCTACAGCAATACCGAGGTATAAATTATAAGAAATTTACGGTATACTCATTTCCTAAACTGTATGCAAGAATTAAAACTAAGGCCCGGTTCATAGACCGGACTTTTCATGATCCGAACCTAAAACAAAGTACAGTCGAACCTCCACGTGCGACCACCTCCCGTAGGCTACCACCTCCCATAAGCGACCGCCTTCCCAAAACACCAAAAATATTCTTAGTCAAAGCCTTATACTGGAATCTCTCGTAAACGACCACCTCCCGTAAGCGATCGCGGCCACTTTTTCGGCTGATAGTTTAGAATTGTCTATTGTTTTCAACCTCCGGTAAGCGACATCTAGGCACATGGTCTTACATTGTAAAAATGGGCAAAAAGGAATTTATTCTTTGGCTGTCATTATTGTCTACACATCTATTACTGTGTTCATTAGTTCGATCTATAACTACAGTACTAACCATTACCCTTAAGAAAAAGACCCAGATTTCCAGGTTTCAGTTAAAGAAGTTAAGTTTGTGTTCGTTCGACGTTTTAGAGGCATTTCTTTACAAGAAGTCACTTACACAACCAAGACTTTGTAACCTCAAATTTGTAACGCGCGTAATCTAATTAAATGCACTTCCGTAAATGAGCTGTCACGTAGATTAGCTAATAATTTTGTCAATAAAACTACCAGTAATTGGCAGTGGAAGGTAAACTTTCATTATTTTTTTTAGAATAAATGTACCACTCTATTCGGCTAGGCTGAATTAAATTTTTCGCCCCTGCGGTCATCCAACTCTCGTAAGCGACCACCAAGCTTAACCTCTAAGTCCCAATATCAACATACAAATTCTCCAAACTGATCCTCATACATTTCCTTTAAGAATGAGTTGAGAAAATTTAATAAAAGATCAAAGCATTTTCTCTTAGGTGATCATTTTATTAATTCTCAAAACCTAATCTCTTGACAATGTATGGATATTATTAGGAGAAAATTGATGTTGGTCACCATTAGGACTTAAAGGGTAAACCTTTGCATTTTGGGCGGTCGCTCGCTTACGAACTTGGGCCCCGTTTCTCGAAAGGACCGGTAACTTTTCTGGCCCCAAATTATATATTCAAATCAAAATGTAAAGAATAAAAGCGCGGGATCTAGCTGACAAACCAGTTTTTTTTGTTTTGTTAACGGATAGTTTTATCATGTTTATCTGCAAAAGTATTGAAACCTCGATCTTGAATGTAAACAGCAACAACTTTCCGGGCCCGTTAATTATTGGGACTTTCGAGAAACGGGTCCATGGTGCATTAATTATGATAGCGTATTTTGCAAGCAGTTTTACCGAAATGAACATTTTTCTCCTTTGAATTTACTTCTACCGGAAGTAAGATTGTTGTCTGAATCAATTCACCCGGTCTAAATAATTTGGGTCGGCCTTAATTCGAATTATGTTGGGCTCATAAAAGTTCGGCCTCTAAACTGGGCCTAAGAACTAAGAAATATATAAATCCAATACTTTAGTTCGTAAATGAGTTTATTTGCCTGCGCCCGAAGCACCATTAGCCTGGGAGGCAGGCCTTGAAATGAAGTGTAAAACAGACCTCTCCCATTTCTCCTTTCACTTTAGTTTCTCCCCCTACCCCTCACCCCCTTTCTTTGCCTCCCCCTCTCCATTTTGGCTTTGCAACGCACACTAATTACCATGGGGAAGAAAATCTGATTATCTATCCATGCGAAAATTATTTTGTCACTTGACCGTCCATTTTAACGTCGGATCATTCCATCCTTATCAGCCTTATCAGCCTTTAGATTATTATAGTCATTATCGTTATCATTATTAGGTAATTTATGTAAATAGCGCACTGAAAAAAAAGAAAGATGGCGAAGATTGAATAAGCTTAATCCTCACCAATTTTTTCTCATCTATCAAACTCTGTGAAATCTTTGCTGTAATTGGATATTCAAACCTTTTTCTGACTTCACTATACAGCAGACTAAGTTTTAGCTTAAACTCAGGTCGCATTATCTACACAAATAATATAAATTTCACTGAATTTTATCGCAGAAAAAGAGAACAAGTGGGTGAACGTTGGTGAATTCTTCGTAGATGAAAGTGGTCAATCAACCTTGAAATTTTATAAAGGCATGAAAGAGACATTATGGGAAGGTATGTTTATAGGCCATTTCCGAGTTCAAAAACTCTCTCGTTCAAAACGAAGCTAAGTGCAAAACCTTTCGTGTGAAAAAAAGCTTTTTGTTTGCATGAGAATTAAAAAAAATCATTTTCATGTCAATGGCTTTACATTTAGCCTCGTTTTAAAACTGAGGCTTGGGGCAACTCGAAAATCGCCTCCATTAAGCGGCCACCTCCGCGGAGCCGGCAAATACAAAGTAATCTCTGGATTTCCCATTATACGCTCATGTAAGTTGTGTTCAGTTCCAAGGTTCAGACTTAAAAGTACTCATGCATAGTTTCCTGATGTATTTTATAGCTGGAAAAGCGTGACAAACTATCAGACCAATAGAAATTGTATTAACTGTAGACTAATCGGCCTCGTATTTTGCTCAAGGTGGACCTGTCCCAAGCGACAGAACGCTGATAACAACGCAGCGAATGGATACTCCGCGAGCGCTCTTCATCATCTTCTCAACGGTGGCCTCCTTTGGTATAGTTCTAGGGATCATTTTCATGGTATTCAATCGCTACTACCGCGATTGCAAGTGAGTTTCATGCACTCTTTAATAAAGGAGAAAGGTAGATGTTTTACTAGGGTGAGGAGATACCCCCATATGTAAACTACACTGGTATATCCTGGGTAAGAACCATTACGCACACACAGGAGCCTATGACACTAGTCATGGACTCCTGGCACACATCAATCCAAAATGGATGCGGAAGTAGTGTTCGGACCTTCGCAATAGTTATACAAAGGGTCGCAAGAGGTGATTGCAGTTTTTAAAAGAACACGATCGATACCGGAGAAGATTGGCTAAGGTTACAACAAATAGTACGGTTTTTGGTCATGAACTTCAGAGTTTGAAAACAAAGAAACGGCGAGTTTCTTGAACGACTTCAAACCCTTTGGTACAGTTCTGCCTTGTCTTCCACTAAACCTCAGGTCTCCACAGATTCTTTTAACAAGAAAGTGATAGATTAAACTCAGCTGGGCTCAATGCGCGGTGACGTAAATATCCCACATTGCTGTTCAAAAAGAGTAGGGGACGTAGATGGGGAAGGGGGCTGTTACAGGCCTGCAGTAATGTAGTTCTGTTGCGGTGGCCCTTCTAAAAAATGGAAAATGTTAGTAGATGAATAAAAAAATAAAGACCTTTATCAAATGTTTGAGAGGGGAGAAATATCATGTGATTCAGTGACTGACCGAAATTTAATGGCATGTGAGATTCCACGCATAAATTATCAGTTGCATGGCGAAAATTATACGGTTTAGGGTCGGGTGAAGCTTTACTTATTGAACAAGTCACCCCAACTCAAATCCATATCACATAATTTATGCGTTTTTTTCAGGTCATGAGCAAAATCGATCTTTTCTCCTTTTATATTCACAAAAATGAGAAAGCAACGAGTATCAGGAAATGCTTACCGGTTTCCTTTTCGCAGTTATGCTGACCTAACGCAATTGTTGTTTTTTTTTTCTAGATTTATTCGTCTATCTGCTCCGATGTTTAATGATATTATTGTATTGGGATGTATCATGTGTTTGAGCACAATATATTTATTTGGAATCCGGAAAGTCAACGATGGCAATAGAACCATGCCACGTATTTGCAAGGTGAGGAGTAACGTTAATTTCATGTGGTTATCTACCAGTCAAACCCGAAAAGGATTTCATAATTCTTTCTGCATTCAGCATGGGCAACGCGTTCACGGGTCATTGTTCATATATTCACTGTTTTGTTGGAGTATTTGAGAGCTTTTGAAAAAGCCGGTTAAATGAGGGCTTTCTGGAATGAACAGTTTTTTGAAATGAACAAACCTTCGTAAAATAGGATATTCACATTTGAATGAACGGTTTGACGCATGGGAAAATTTTTGAATAGCTGCCTGTGGGTGGGGAATTAGACGCTTTTTCAAGCGCTAGCCGGTGGATCATGCTACCACCTCTATACCAATTTACCGGGGAATTTAACCAAAAAGGTCAAATGCCTAGGCCTAGGGGGTTTGCCGGGGGAGGGGCATGGGCGGTTTTGGAATTGACTGGTACATAACGATGGTAGTGGTAGTGTAACGGACTCCAATAAACTGAACCAAGAGCTATTCACAGCCGATAAAGGAGATTATCTGAGCCAGACGACTAATTTACGGACGGTCTTATATATGTATTAATTTTAACTACGCTCAAAGATACTATCTGTTTTTCTTTTAATTCTTTAATTCACATTTTATGATGTACCTTATTTTTTTCAGGCTCGTGCGTGGCTTTTGAACATAGGATTCTCCTTGGCTTTTGGAGCCATGTTCATCAAAACCTGGCGAATTTACAAGATTTGTACAAACAAGCGTCTGAAAGTCCGTGTAAGTGTATCTAATTTTTAAATTGCTAGAAAGAAAAAACTTTAAAAATATATTGGAACAAAGCAATTATTGGATTCGGTTTCGTATGATCTGAAGAATTGCGCTGATCTCGCAATTCTTCAAATCCAAATCAGTCTCAACCAATAATTGCTTACCGTATTTATTCGATTAAGCGCCCATCCTGTAGGGATGAAAAGTTGACAAGCAACTAGCCTCGAACAAGAAGTTCAACCCTCCCCACCCACCACCCTCTCCCCCAAAAACCTGACGTGGACAAGAAAATTGTTTATTATTTCCTTACTGCCCAATATGCTTATCGTCGAGGCAACACGCGAGAGTTCGCTTATTGACCTCACTGACAATGAGAGAGAAATTGACTAGGTTCTATTAGGAGACTTCCCTGAGGACAAACTTCTTAGTCATTTTTAAATAAACTTAAATAAACGGTTAAAAATTCTACTTTGCTACATCTTCACGTTTTGTTTTTATTTACTATTTTGTCGGAAAATTAACTTTAGTACTTGCTAAAATTTAACGAAAATTTAATAAGCGCCCACTCTCAAGGCCCAGAAATTTCATAAGCGCCATAAACACAGTATCCTTAGTTCAAATCATAAATAAGTGCATTCCCTCTGCTATACAACTTGTTTGACTTGCTAACGTCTAACACGTTTGAAATTTATCAGTTGGGTCCATTGTCTGATTGGTGGATGCTGGCTATGGTATTTGGGATCGTTGTGATTGACGTGGTGCTGTTAGTGGCTTGGGAACTTACAGACCCGCTCCAACATGAAGAAGCAGTCGTGGACAAGAAGGTTAGTGGACAGATTACAACCTGCTCCAACAAAGATTTTTCAGCGTATATCTTACACGATATTAGCACTTGTTGAGATGTGTTTGTAATGCTGATTTCAGGTTTATGAAATTGCTCTATTCATGTGCTTCGAATTTTTACTGTATGATTTCATGTGGTGCGCGTATATGGCCACATTTATCCAAAATGTTATATTTCTGTAATTTTTGGAGGAAAATTCAACTGGGATCACATGGACTTTGAAGCTTCCAAATAACAGTTAGTAACTATAAACACTATTCACGATCTGAAATAACGCGTACGTGCTCTCCCGGCGAAGTGACCTGGTCCTTGGTATTGATGATTAATACTTGTATTTTCGGTTTTCATTGCAGAATGATCCAGGGGATCACCTCAAAATAATAATGTCTACAATAAATACATGTACGGGGAAAAATGTGGAAATGTGGCTGGCATTGATTTATGTTAGCAAGGGAATTCTTTTGCTTTACGGGCTGTTCCTCGCTTATGAGACCAGAAATGTCGTGTATGCGCATTTGAACGACTCGCGAATCATTGGAATTTGTGTGTACAACGTGGTGGTGCTGTCCACTATTGGGGCGTTCTTGGCTCTAATTTTGAAGAACGAACAGTATGTAGAGTTATACTCCGCACTAAGCGTGTGTATATCTTTCCCAGCTGCAGCCACTATATCGCTGATCTTCATACCAAAGGTAAAACCTGATTTATTCGGCCATTTTCAACAGATAATTTCATTACGATTGTCACGGATTTAAAAGCTCGAAGGTCGCATCGTCATGGAACCACTTGTATTCATCTGACATATCACTCCTCGTATTAAATTTATACAGCCGCCAGGCTGCCTCGTTTCCAGGCGCCGTCTGCACTACTATTGCAGAGGATCACTGATAGGAAAAATATATCCTTCCCATGACACAACGTGGGCTATGTAAGCGCAAGGAAGGACGCCTGGAGTCAAGGCAGGCCGCCTGACGAGTTCACTTAGTAGAAACCGTCCAGCGTCTTTTAAGGTGGATTTTTACCCACATTCGTACGCGCGTAGATAAAATAGAAATGTGTGGAAGGTCAGGCGTAAACGTAAAAGTTGAACCTTACTTAAACGTTTACACACGTCCTTTCATACATCGCCTAACTATGTATTTTATTTATGCGCGTAGGCACCGGCGTAAAAATTACACGATTGTGGACTAATCCACCCTTAGGCTGCAGACCACCTTGTACTTCCTGTGTGCCTGACATTTGATGGTGCATATTACTACTACAGTAATGATATTCAAAAAGGGTTGTCGGTAGACCAAACAAAATGCAATGGATACTCATTATGTTAGCAAGATTCCCCCAGTATTTCAGCGGGCTAAGCGTGCACGCAACGCCGTTACAGGTATTAGCGAAGTCGGGATATTCCAGAACAGGGTTCTTCAATCCCGTAATCTCGACCCAAAACTTCGTGCAATCCCTTAAACCTGATGGGCTTATGGCATCGCACCTCAAATCCAATCTCGAAACTCGCCCTGATTTTGCTTTAAAATCCCGAATCCCGAGCTTCCAGTGAGGGAAATCCCGAATCCCGAGCTTCATGTAAGAGAAATCTCGGATCCCGAGCTTCATGTAAGGAAAATCCCGAATCCTGAGCTTCAAATGAGGGAAATCCTGAACCCGGAAAAACTCACTGGAGACCCTCAACCAGTGAAACAACACTGTTATCATCCAATTATTCATTTAAATCGTAAATTTTTCTTTATAGCTGATACATCGCCTAAAAGCAAGCTCCCTCGAAGGGGAAACCGTTGGAGAATCGACCTTGAATCACACTTTTTCTCGTCCATCCATCGACGTAACCAGCACATTTAAGGGCACAGAAATGGGAAGAGAAAGATTCGTAGACGCTCCTCCGTCAGGCAACACACTCGGCGTCTATCAAAATGGAGGTTTCATGGACAGTCTTTCTTCTATTCCTTCACCCTCTCCTCCGTCAGGCAACACACTCGGCGTCTATCAAAATGGAGGTTTCATGGACAGTCTTTCTTCTATTCCTTCACCCTCACCTGCAAAAGCTGTAGAAGAACCTGCGCATTCGGCAACAACACTAGAGGATTAAAATCTCCGACTAGCTTAAACTATCGTAAGGCACTGACAATTTTTCTTACGCCTCGCATATACGGATCGGTCATATTCTTACGAACAAAAAGCTTCTCATTCTCTTGTAAAATGCAAAGAAACTATGTCCTTAAATAATGGAACAACACACACGTTCAAAACGTCGCTGGCCAGAAGACGGTGAAGATAAGATGGTCAAAACTAAAAATGCCTAGGCGAAGTTGTAACACGGGCAGCCAAAGTTTTTTTAGCCATACCACTCGGTGAACATTCGGAACACACTGTACTGTTTTGCGGCAGCGCAGTTATTTGAAGTTCTGGTACCAAGAGCTCATAGAAACAGAGGAAAATGCTTTGAACTTTTCGACGTACAGGCTTGAGAACATTTTTTTGTGGAATTCAAGCTTTACGAGAAAAGAGCCAAGGATAAATTATTATGAAAACTTTCTAGTGAAAAACACGACTAACATTAACAGTTTCTATTTGATAAGTCGCCTAAGTCGCGACATGGGATGTAAACATGCCTCTATGTGCATCGTGCAGCCCTTTGGTCTTAATAGCATGTCATAGTAACAGGTGGTGCTTTGCATAAGAAGCTTTTAATAAGCCCCACGTCCTATAACCTACCAGAACAGGGCTGGGTGCCCTACCCCAGCAGGGTGGTCTCTACTACAAGTTGCCGAAATCTAGGCATTGAAATTAAGGTTCTTGCTCGCCAGTAGCTAGAGAAAATATTCAAAAAGAGAGAGAAATTTTAAACTTATTTGTTGGTGCAAGAGATCATAATAGGACTATTATGGTTCTTGGATGGTGTTATCCTTTTAATTACCCGGGTTATTTCTAAACTCGAGGAAGCGCGGTTTGCTTACTCTTTTAGGGACTGTTCATTGTTTGCTTGTGGGAAGGAAGATCCTAGAAGGCGGGTCATCCTAGCGCCATATATTTTCTCGTTTTAGTTAACTGGATGCAAAAAGTTGTAGTTGTCCATACACTGCGAGAAGAGGCTGCATTTTGCGGTGTCGTGGTGAACTGGCGTGCAAAAAGTACTTTTCCCTGGCCAGAATGTAGCCTCTGCTCGCAGGGTAACTTGGATAACCCGCAAACGATCCTTTAGTTCTATAGAAAAAAACAAACAAACATGATTGCCGGGATTTCGACCGTCAAGGCTCGACAATTTCGTCGGTCATTACAACTTTCAAGCGTGCAAGGCCAGTAACGTAGCGACGCAGCGGAAAGCTGAGAGACCGATAGTCCATTTCACTGTTACACTAGGTGAAAACGAGGCTGGAGTTGACCGTTTATTGATACAACCCTTCTCCTTTATTATCGTAATCATGTTTTTCTTATGCTAACTAGTATTTTGTAGCAATTTTCGTAAGAAAGGGAAGGATATTTGTATCAACATAAGCTCAAACTCAGCCTCACATTCACTCAGGGGCTAGCGTTCTTAGCTCTGTAAAATGGATAACACGATATAATCAGAAAGAAAATGGTCTTAAGGCTCATCATCCTCTCGATGAAGAAACGATTTAGAAATGACCAGTTTCGGCCAAAAAAAAGATGTTTTTACCCAGCCCTGATCGAATTGTCCTTCATGTAAAAGAAACGAAAAGAAGCTGGTAAAGTTTTTTTTTTATCTTTTAACTAAGCCATATAGTGTATTTACCACTTTAACTAAATATTTTATCATTGCATCAAGTTGTTCCGCCTGATAGGATCTTTCTCCGTCCCTCCCTCTTTTAATTTGAGACTAAAAAAAGCACAGGTAAGTCAGGTGTATTACCTATTTATACATCGATAATAATTTCCCATACAAACTCTTACATTACGCTGCCCTGCGAGAATCTCGAGAGAGGCGGGGTCGTAAACAAGCCAACTATGCGAATGACAGCAACGCGAACGATTCCGCACAACCTATGCCGTAAAGAAACTTCTGCTCGCAGGATAGCATTACGCTAAGACTACCTGGGACTACCTGTCAGAGAAGGCAAATAATTAAGAACCTTAAGCACAACATCGTTATTTGAGTTAAGACGACATGGGACCTTTCTCTCTCAACAAGAAGGAATGCACTCGATAAATAGTGAAAGAGTTGTCTAGTGCGACAAAATAATTTTAGATAATTATTGCGTAAGTTAAGAGCTACATCTTTTTATTTAGGAAAAGCATGCAGTGTAAATTGAGGTTGGATTTAGTTTAACGTATTTAAAAACGTTGCTTATGTTCAGATGTTCAGAATTTTTTAAAAAAATCTTCTGACCTTATTATCACGTCTCTGTAAGTTTGTTTTAAACGTTTTGGGAGAATTTGTTAAAATATTAAAATAGTCTTTGTAAGCCAGTGTGAGCTTCCACTCATTCTTTAAACGTTTTTCTGTCTTTGGGTGGTGGGGGTGAAGAAGGAAACAGATTGTGATTCACTTACCAACACGCGCGCGTGCATTGCTGGCGTAGTTTTTTCCTTTGCTTTCACTAGAATAAAAAACAGCGCCAAATGAATGGCCCAAGGTCTAAAGAATTTTGTCCGAGATTGTAGCGATGTAAAATGGAATGAATAATCTGTGCAGATATTCTATTTTTACCCTTAACCCAGTTTCAATAGAACCAAAAAAACTTCTCAGTTACAATAAGAGAAGTTTTTCATTCAAAGAAGTTCCATGAATCATCCGAACCACGCGAACAGTGCAGAGTTGACTAACCCTTGGGTAAGAAAACATCCCATCGAAATTTGCCAGTATCTGCATAGCCGATGAAGCGTCGAACGTTTCCTCTCGATAGCTCTATTATATTAATCTTTACGGAGACTGCGAGTAGTCTCTTATTTTTCTTTTAAGGCACAGTAGATCGAGAGCATGCGTGAAGTGAGAAGCCGCGAGGAACGAGTGAGGAAGCCCGAGAGAAAAAAAATTGCTCTCTGGGGTCCAATCTCTCCTCCCATCAATTTGCACAATTTAACCTTTTCACTAGCGTGGCGTGTGGCTCTGAGGAAAAAAGGCCAGGACGACCGCTTGCGATCTAAACTTTGCCTGTTGATATGGACTGAAAAGGTTCCCCATCCCTATACCTTCTCTTGACAAAATTAATGGTGCCCCATTCACATACCTTGTTTAGAACGTTGCATCCCTTTTAACTGCTGTAAATGCGCTGTCTTCGAAATATGAAGAAATCACAAAACTAGGAAATTTTCTCGATTTTTTCACAGCCGTAAATTCTTCTGTTAGCCCTTTAAGGTCTTTTTACAGAAGGAAATGACAGTTTTCCCTCCCCTTTTATACACTTCAACTAGTGAAATCCCTGGCATTTCATATACCTGTGGCCCGACGGGTACCTCTTTCGGGCGAAGCCTCCCCCAAATCCTCTAATGGATAGCCACTGAATAGAGCAAATGGTTGTCCAAAGTGTTTGCTAGTCTCCATGCAGTTGACATAAAAACAGCAAAGTCACCAAAGTGGCCAGTTGATGATCAAGGCACCTGCTCTCTATATAAATGAAGTTGAGCAAAATAATTATAAGCTAATGGAGAACGAGTACCAGGGTACCGGCACAAAATGGTGCTGTTTTCACACCCTGAGTATCCGATATGTGATTGTGTACATAGTTGCTCCATTTCTCCCCGTCAGAAGCTATTTTGAAGCAGGAGCTTAGCAACGAGCACAAAGCAGTGGACTGTCTCAGAACTAACAAAAACAATGTGCACACAGGGACCCGGAGCCCACTTTCGTGTCCAAGTTCAAGGTCGTGGTTACCGGCACCGTTCCCGAATTCTAACGTGGATACTTAAAAAAAGGGTTCGTTGTTTGTTCCGTTTGTGACCGTAACTCGGGCGCCGTACCAAGGCATCAAGTATGAACGCTGCCTTTAACTCATAATCAGTTCTCAGGAATTGAAGCGGTTCCTGCTTCTCAAGTAACCAAATAATACTTCGTCATAAAACCATAATGTCGAAAAAAACTAAGGAGTTTTCTTTGAAAAATAAAGACAAAAGCGAAGACTAACTAAAAGTACTCTGAAGAACTTTTGTTGTAATGACCTAAGAAAAAAGAGTAAGCAACTCAGTCTATTACCAGACAAAAGATAAAAGTAGCGCATTATTGCTTGTTGCTGACAGTGGGGACGCGGGGAGGGGGGTGTGGTCTTATAAAAACTGACAAGGTCTTGCTACCTGTGATTTAAGATCATCGTCTCAATTAAACGATCGCTTCATTTGGCAGGATCACGTTCAGCCGTTTGCGTTGCCTCCTTCATTTTTCCTTTTCTTTCTTAGCCAATCATCGAAATGAAAAGGGAAGGGGAAGCAAAAGAATCCACTCTTTTGTTCCAAAAGAGTAGGAACGTAGACCCCTGTGGTGTGGTCTATTTCTCATTGGAGGTGAGGGGGGTGGGGGGACTTTTATGGGGCGGAGTAGTTGCGCTGACCCTGTCGAGGACTGGCGAATCTAAATAAACTGAAATGAATTGAAATAATAGAATTTCTTTGAAAGTAGAGAAATTTTGCATGGACGAAGCTGACAGCAGCGAGGACGTCACTTTAAAAATAGATTCGCGCAGGATTGATGCTTTGCTAGTTAGTCACTACTTCCTCCAATTTGATGCAATCTGAAAAGATGTCAAAGAATTTTTAAATGAGAAAGACTCGAATTAAAACCTTTTTTGTCTTTTTTGTGGCAGAAAGATGTAAGTTGTTTGGTTGTTTGCCTTGACTCATCTAAGCGTGCTGTTTTTAAAAGTTTCAAGCCCGAGTACCTGTGTTCCGTGGTTCTTTTAGTAAAAATATACATCGGCGAGAAAAAAAAAAGAAGTAAAAGATTATTAAAAACGCCCGGCAGTAAGGAATTCTGGAAAACTAGCGTGGGCGTTTAGGCAGTTACTTAGGCCATCAGCCGCAGAAAAACACAAACACGAGCAATAACATTTGTTCTACATGCAAGAGAACAGTTCAATATTTGAGCGGACAGGGCGTTTGTTTCTGAATCCAAGGTAGAATCCACAAGTATTCGATATATTCCATAGGTATATTGGAGCATGAAAAGCAATTGAATGTTATGGTTATTTTTTAATGCCGGGTTGCCTCAAACTTTGATATCCCAGCAACTGGGTACATAGAATTTTTAAGCTTTAAAATTATTCTAGCAGGCATAATTCTTTTACCAAGAAACATGCACGTATGGGCCGATATCCTTTATCAATAAACGTGTATAGACTTTTTAATATATATAGTTAATTGTTAACAACTTGGCGATAATTTCAAGGCTTGCCGTATCGGTAAGAAGGTCGGATTTAGTTTTACCTATATTAGGGAGTGACAAATGTTCATTTAAGAAGGTTCTCGATGGGATTAACCTTCCGTAAAACAGCAGGCAAACTGAACATTTTAGTCGTTGGACAGAATTTAATGGAAATTTTTAATCGTTAGTCTTAGAAGAAGTTAATATTGAGCGGCTTTTTACGGCATGACATGTCTTTTGGTAGCCGTTGAATTCAATTTCAGCCATTTTTCCTCTATCGATCCCGGAAAGGTTCTTAGTCTAAACAGAAACTCTAAGGGGTTGAATCGTGTAACTCTCATATGTTTGCTTTGTCTGATGCTCGTGATTATCCATTTTCGAAAGTAATATATTTGGAACGAGAAGAAGAGATAACTGACCAATCAAACTTCGTAAACAGCGTGACGTAGTTTTACTTCAGGTTCCCTCGCTCGCTTAAAAAAATGGCCGACAAACGGGGCAAAAACTTCCGAAAGCCGAGAAAGCTTTCAAAGGTTGAAACCAGGAATCTTACCGAAAAGCTGAGCAGGATATTGTTGCCTTACCACCCGGGCCAAACGTAACATTACGAAACCCTTTGACGTCCTCCGAATCAGGTGGAGGCAGCGGATGCGTCCGCACCTCCAAAGGTCCACAAAATCCATCCCAAGGTTTTATAAGAGCCTGCCAACTGTTTAACTGAACGTTTCTAGATAGGATATCCTCTATTAATTTTATTATTAGTCTCGCTATACTTGATACATCTTATCTTAATATGCATTTTTTCGGTACACATACATGTTTATGTAGCCGAAACGGCAAGAAATTAGCCGTTGAAAGGCCAAAATATTAACCGTTTACCGTGAATACCTCCCCCCTGTGAGTCCTTCATTTAACCCCTGTTGTCACTCAGTTAGCATTGAGGCAGCAAATACCGTACCAGATACGTGATATTATTATGATTTGTTGGTAGAACTTATGATTCGATTTCATGTGAAATTTGGAATAATTGGGCTCGAGCAAATTTATTCAAAGACTAACAGAGTTGCATGATCGAACTTGAAGTGAAAAAAAAAGGGTGTGTTTATTTCGAGTATTCCATTTACGAGAGAAAAACTGCTCAGTATTATAACTAAAAAGCCCTAAAAACAATGCAAGGAAACTTATCAAGATCCAAAAAAAAGAGAAATAAAATGAAATATCGTTCTATTTCCTTTTACAACTAAAATGATGTCTTTTTCTTTTTTCAGAAATGAAATACCTTTTCCTTCATAAAAATGTTCTTAGTAGCCAATAAGAATCTGAATTATTATTATTTCTTCTCCTAAATAGGGTAATAAGAACTTCGTAACAATAGTATTTTTATGGTACGGATAAAATTGAACTAAAAACTGATTACTTGGCTCATTATCTCTAACTATTTCATTTTCTATGAAATCAACTATGCATTTTACCATTTCGTGCAGACATCGCGCTTCAATTTAAAAGGAGCTGTTTTAATTTCAGGTTTACTCATTAGTTTTCGTCGATTTCTTACCATACTGCTTCCTGTGAAACTGTGGTGAATTTGGAATGATAGACCATTATGATTAATTCAGTTCTCATACTAAACTTTGCAAAGTTTACTACTGATTTCGCGGTTGTCTCTTTCATTATGTTTTGGGTGTTGTGCTTTCTAAGGACCCTTCATGTCAAAAACGAATTTTTCTTGCGTGACCTGTTTGGCAAAGTGCAAAATGTTATTTGTGTAGTCAATACCCACAGTAGTTTACTAAAACAACTATCTTGCTACATCTTATACACAACAAATACGTGTATAGCAGAACTTGAAATGCTTACGTCCAAGGCCTTCTTGCTATGCGTTTCGTTTACATTAGCCCCGCGGGGCTCTGGGGAAGGCAACCTGTAGGATGTGTTAATCATTAAAGAGATGCTTTTACCAGTATCAGAGAGGCAATTATATTTTTGTTAATATGTTGAATGCTCAGAAAGTGCTCGCTTTAAAACGTCGATGCACTTTTAATATCTTTCACTTGCATGCTACTGTTACTTATTCTGAGTTTACACCAAGAAAGAACTGATAGAAATTTAGTAGAGATGAACTAAGAGATTCAGCTTTTTTGGAAATGAAATCTCATTATTGGAAACATTAACGCTGATGACGTCAAATATGACCTTTTGTCTTTATCTCATGAACAAAATGCGGGGGAATCTCATTAAGATAAGGTCATGTACTACTTTTAAGTGGTTCAGCTGGTTTGACAGGCTTTGTATCGAGTAACAAGTTATTCAAGTTTCAAGAAGGAGGAGGAGGAGGAGGAGAAGAATAAGAAGAAAAGGAATGGAGCCCTTAAACTCTATTTCTTTGTTAGCTCTTTATTCTTGAAACAACTTCATGCCGCTAAATAACAAAGATAACATGATCTTTAGATTTCTAGAACAGGAATATTTATAATATACTCGCCCCTAAAAAACAGGTGACATGCCTTCATAAAATATGCAAGACAGAGCTGGAAAGCAAAGAAAACTAACTCGATCGACAGAATACTTGCCTTAATGTTTCTTTTACAGCTTGCCTTACTTCTCTGATCTTCCAACAGTACAGCAACGGGTTTAATGACGAGTGAACCGTGGTACCAGTAAAAATCACAGCAAGGTGATAAGTAGAGAACGACATCTCTCTTTGAGGTGATAACGCTACCGCTATGTTATATGGGAGATAACAAATAACCAATATCAACTGCACCCACAGTGCACTGCTCACTGCCTTTCTGTATCGAGCTATGTTCAGTGGAATTTCTTGGCCCTGTTGTCCTTGAGCAACATGGTTCTGAGCACGAATTTGATTATGACGCAGAGAGAGAAAAATTTTTGTGTAAGCGGAGATTGTGGTGGCTACACACAGAGCTGTAACGATGTTTTGATACCATGAAGTTATAAGAATATTCCAAAAGGTTGTAGAAGCTCCGACAATGCACATAATCCATAAACCAATTACAGCTATACGTGTTCGTTTCAGAGTTACAACTTGTCTGTATCTGAGTCCCAGCAACAACAAGGCGAGAAGTCGGTCCATGCTTATTGCAGTCAGTGTCAATAAAACACATTACACAAAGTATGACCTGAGAAAGATAATGCCACTAGAACCGTGTAATAGCAACTATCCCATCTTCGGTTCAGAACAGAAGTCAAGTAAGTTACAAGCAAAGGCTCTGTAATTATATATACCAACACAGAGATCAGTTATCGCTAGGTTACGATACAGGAGTTTGGAAGGCGGATGAAGTGAAGTTTCCTTGTGAAGAGCAACTAGGGAACTTAAGATAGAGGCGTTTTCGGGGCGACGGCAACTTCAACCGGACGTGACATCATCATTTGTTGAATATTGCGCATGCTCGTGCTCACCACCTTGCCGTCGTGGTCCCGTCGGCGACGTGAAACTGGTCTGTGTGGCGTTGTGGCGAAAACGTGAGTATTTAACTTTCGTTTCAATCAGGTTTGTTGCGTTTAGCAACCAACATTTTGCAGATTATGGTTCTTAAATTGTCCTTGTTTTCTTTGAGGCACATTTCAAGCTCGATTTCCAAGCTCTGTTATCTAAACTTACATCTTTCACTGATCTTTGAATGTTTCTATGTTTTCATGTCACAGGGTCAAGATCCACCTTGGCAAACAGCCAACCGTAAGTGAGCTTGAGATGGACAAAATTTTCTCACGAGCCAAATAAAAGTATCCAGACAAAAAATATGAACTCAGATATTTCAATTGTGTGTTTTTAGTTCGCTCTTTTCGTTAGAATATCGTATAAATGAAACGCATTGAAAATTATATGGAATAGTAGGTAATACCATGTACTAACTCGGCGTGGGAATACTGAAATAAAGTTGTTGCCGTTGTTGTTGTTGTTGCATGCACGTATTTCCCGGGAATTATTTCAATACTAAACTAAGAATACGGTTCCTTGGTAGCATTTTAATGTTCCTGTAATTTGCAAGGCTTCGGCAAGCCTGTGGAGATCATTTTTTTTTCAACACGAAATTCTGCCTTGAACTCAGCTGCATCCCGCATGTTTTTTAGCGTGAACGGATCGTAACTGTCCCGAGGAAAATCGGGATTTTTGGACTCATAATTTTCCCACAAAACGAGAAACTCTTTATCCGTTATATGTTGTCTGCATAGCAAATATTTATTCTCTTAATTCTTTATGTGAAGCCATATTTTCCTCTTCGGTATTCTTCTAATTAAAGGCGCCGTCCTTCTGAGTTCACTGCGATCTTAATGTTCTATTTTTGACGGGAAGCGACGGCTGCCTTAGTTCCAGGCTTTCTCTACCAGTCCGGTCGCCGTCGCCCCGAAAACGTCTCCATCTTAAGTTCCCTACTAGGATCAGAGTGTTCCCCAGAAACGCTGCAATGGACAGGAAAATGTTTGGAGCTGAAAGCAAGATAAGTTCGCCATCTACACCGCTGATTAATTCAGGTGAGCAGAACACTTCAACAGTTGTTTTCTGATATTTTTCATCTTCGGTGAAATTCGTCAGTGCCATATTGTTCCTCTGAGACACAACGACCTACAAGTGAGTGTTTTATATGAATGCTACGTTTTAATTTGGGTTAAAGTAGATACTGTATCAATTTGTCATCTGTCAAGTCAACTATTTGCCCAAACGCGCACGCTACATTGTAATTCCCTTTGCACATTTGTCGCGTCAGTTTAACAATTATTTATCAGGAGCAATTTACAAAAAGCATAAACGTGCAAAAATAAATGTAAAGGAGAGCTCGCAGGACAAAGAAAGGTTGAGCAAAGTTGTCTCGGTACTTTTTCAATCTAGCACGGAAATATGATTAGCCAGGTGTTATGTCACAGTGCGGATGATTTTAATAACGTTTTTGGGTTCTTATATATGTTGGCGGCGCATTAGCAACGTGACATCGCAATAATTATCGATGGAAATTCCAATAACTCAAGATTTTTTTAAAGTTTAATATAAGTTTGAGCTATCACTCCTTCCCAGCAATTAAGCGAAGAATATACACCTAATTGCAATAGCGTTGTCATAGTTAAATCAGCTAAAAGGAACCGAAATGAAAAATGCAAAAATCCAAATCGAAATTAATTAGATACCTTTAAACCACTATAGGACGAATTTATTTTGAACTTAGACGCACAAACTTTCCCTTGGCATTTGGTTTTACTTCCCTAAAATGCGTATGGACCAAATGAGCCCACCCTTTCTAGACTTCTTAGCAGGCCTACTTAATTCCTATTTCGCTTTTTCTTTTTTTTCATTTTCCCTTTATCTTTTTTCTAAGACAACTTCTGTCATTGCAATTAGGTGCATATGCGCATGCGCTTCCTATACTGACCACCGCGTGAAGTTAATAAGGCTGGACAAGGTATAAACATGTTCACCACAATTAGGGTAACTTTTAATTTTGGGTCGATTATGATGAAAGGGAAAACGCGCTAAAACTTCATGACCATCACAGTGCAAGTGAACCCTTCATTTATATATCACTCTTCAGTAAAATATGGATGAATGTCAGGAGGGATAAAAGTACCTCATTTCTTAGTTATGCAAGGCTGGGTTTTGACGCAATAATTTTATTTGCTAATTCTTCTGTAAAATATCACGATTCTGCTTCTAACAAAAACAAAAAAGAGCTGTGCTTTATTTCGTTCGTAAAAGTCACAGGAAGAAGAGACTGAAATTTAGCAATAATTGTGAATTGTTTCTTCTTTGAGCCGCCCCCTCCTTTTCTGAGGGGAGGGGCGGGGATGCGGCTGTACACAGGCTAAACTTTAATGAGCTTAGTGAAACTAACTAACTGATGATTTTAATGAGTTTTCAGTTCTGTAGCCGAAAGAAAGTTCTTAACAGTCGGCAAACACGTCAAACTGTGTGGGATGCGGTAATTTTGGTGTCTCTTGTTATATTACAAGATGTGAAATGAATAACACTCCTTTCTTATATATAACGGATATGTTAATTCCCGCCGATAAAACACCTGCTATTTTAATGCGCTGACGATAAGTGAACTTACACAACAGGACGGGAGAGGAAAGAAGACAACAAACCTTGTGTGACAGGCGTGACAATAATTTTGTTTGGAAAATCTTTCCGCCAAATCTTTCCTTTAAATAGATCTTTTTGTAAAGACCAGAAAACTTTAATGTTAAGTGAAGATCACTACATAGCAGGCAAGTTATGGCCCTGTCACGTTTCTCACACACAGTAATTTTGTTTAAAAAAAATTTTACCTCATACTTTATCTTCCTTTAAACAGAACTTTTTGTAAAAGACCAAAAACAGGAGCCAAAAAACATTGATATTTAGTGAAGATTACGACAAAACACGCAAGTAAAAGCCCTGTCACGTTTGTCACACATAAGCGTTTTTCTGCCGTGCTATTAACTCACTAGGTGGATTAATGATTTAATTTCAAAAAAAAAGATGGTATCATTTCTCCGTAAAGGACTAGAATACAAAGTGGAAAAGCTCAAGTACAAGAAGCTTGGAGGTTATTCAGCCAAGGATGAGAATCAAATTCGAACTTCCAGTTGGTAAATATACCATCCCGGATCAGTCCACACCAAGTCAACCTCGTCCCCAGGGCTTTTCCCTCAAAGAGTGGGTGGCCCGCCCCACCCATTTTTTGAGGGAAAAGCCCTGGGGACGAGTTTGACACCAAATTTTACAGTCCTTATTCATTAAGACAATCTATCATTTCTTAGTGAAGAATAATTAGGTAGAGTGGGGGGGGGGGGGGG